AACGGGCCTGTGTCTCGGACTTTTTGGTGATTAACAAAAAAGCCTATTCTGGGCAAGCGAGCAGTCTGCTCCGCGTGAGGCTGGTACTTCAGCTCAGAAAGGGGAAGTGGCTGAGCACGAGGAGGCCGTCTTGCCGGGAGTGCCTCCACGAGTGCGGTGCCGTACACAGATCCGCTTGTTTGCTGCTCTCTCCTTTGTGCTGGCAGTTCCGCGCAGGCGGCTGCGTTTTCGCAATGCAACCGATGGCTTTTCCCAAGGCCGGGCTTCGCTTTCGTCACGCGCCACACAGCTGCGGTGCCCTGCCATGAATAGCTGGGCAGAATAGCTAAGGCACCAGAAAAGAGCCCGGAAGAGAAGAAATGAGTGTACGTGTTTGCCTAGAGAGCTGCAGGCGTTTCGTGGTGATTCCCTCTCTGCACCACAGCCCTGTGCTGGGCTGTGCGGTGTTTCCTGGGGTCTGTTCCCAGGAAATGTGGGGATGGGAGTGTACTTGCTTCGTGTGTTCAGGGACGTGTTCTGCATGCAGCAAAATAATGGAGTGGGGAGAAACATGCGGCTATGTGGCCCGGGGGCATCCCCACATCTCTTGGCACCTGAACAGGGCAGCAAGACGTGCCCAGGTGAGCCGTGGTGGTGAAGACCTGATGCTGGGGGACTGTGTAAAACGCCCTGTGCCACATGAGGGGACGTGAGGCTGTCCCCAAAACCTCGGAGCGGCTGTGCAGGGCAGCGCAGAGCCGCACCACGTGGGAGCCGCCGCGGGGCGAACAAAAGCAGCTGCCAAATGATTTATTGGCCCCACTCTGCATCTGCTGCTGCGCCTGCTGGAAAGGCCGTCACCGGAGTCAAAAGCCCCACTTGTGGAGGAATTACAACTCTCACTGCCTGCTGCTCTTGCTGGAGCTAGATACAAATCCTCGGTTTGCTGGAAGGGGTGGGAGGGACGGATGGAGCCTCCTGCAGCATCTTTGCACTGTGCCTGTGTGTCCAGGCTTGGGCAGCGGGGACGTGGGAAAGGGCCAGGCTGAGCTGAAGGAAATGGAGGTGTCACTGCTGTAAGCAAGCTCAGTCAAAAGGACAGGACAAATTGGCCTTGCATATCTCAGAATCACAAAATTGTTGAGGTTTGGAAGGGACCCCTAGAGATCATACAGTCCATTCCCCGTACTCCAGCAGTGACATCTAGGGCACGTGGCACAGGGTCGCATCCAGGCAGATTTTGAAGATCTCCAGAGAAGGAGACTCCACAACCTCTCTGGGCAGCCTGTTGCAGTGCTCTGTCACCCCCACAGTAAAGAAGTTCCTCCTCCTATGTAGCTATGCTGAACTCACTGGGGTGGCATTTGTGGGGAACAGTTATCACCTTTGTGTACTTGACAAAACTTAATTGTCTCTTCTCCACTGACAAATTTGGCATAGCAGCTTGCCCAGCCTCATGGAGAAGAAGGAAAAAAAAAACCCTTCATTTATAAGCAATTCATTAAGTAGCATTAAAGCTGTCTCTGAAGACAAAATAATCTTTTTAAAGAGGACTCAAGGTACTGAGAAGGAAGATTAATGCCTCAGCTATTTTTCAATTATGGGAGCTTTCATATGTTCCAGTACACCTGAGTTGACTCCATGGCAGCCGAGCGCGCCGGGCCGGCCGGCGTTCCACCTCGTGCAAGGGATGAGCGGTGCCCGCATGTGGCTGCTGTGATCCGCGCATGCCGCAGGGCTGGAACAGGGGTGACATTGTCCCATTAGACCTGCAAGGTGGCTGGGCACCCCCAGCGGGATATTCAGAGGGAACTTTCCATGCCAAAGGCACATCTCTCCCTTCCCGCTAAATCTGGCATCTTCAAGGGGGATGAGGCCACACCAAAAATCAGGGGTGACTTTGGGGATGCGTCTCCTGCTGGTGCTGCTCAATGATGGGAGAAAATGTTGTCTTAAATCCCTCGCAGCAACAGGCGTAGCCCTCTGAAGACTCATTTTTATCAATGTTATTAAGCTTTTTCAAAGGGAGGATTTGCAAAGTGTTTGCTGTGTACAGCACACTGACTGTTCTTGCCTTGCTTTTTGGTTCATGTATCTGTGCACCAAGCACAACCACCGTGGCCTGGTGCAGAGGCGCTCCTGGATGCTGACCCTCCTTCACTTGTCTTCTCTTATGATCGTGCTCATGGGTTTTGTACAGTCAAATGAGCCTCAATTCTTCCAACACATTGTGGCTATTTTTATTTCAATATGATTTACGTCAGAGGCTCCTGTAAAGCATAATTAAAAAGGTCTTATTGATACATGCACCCTCACTTCTTTCCCTTGCCATTGCCTCCTAGAGTACTAGCCTTTCCTTAATTGAAGCAGTGAAGAGTCCATTTAGCAGGGAGGTGGGAGGAAGCAGCCTGAAAACTATTCATCTAAATCACTCCAGCAATGAAAACGGTTGCTGACTCCATCTATCATAGTTTCTGGGAAGTGTCTTCTGAGAGACTGGTTGATAGAACCATGCAGGTGTGCACATGCATGTGGTGCTATGCAGACCTGCTCACCCAGGGCAGTGCTGTGCAGTGGAACAAGACAGCTTTTTGCAGATATAAATTATGGGCAATAATCTATGAACAAAAGCGGTGTCTGGATAAAGAGCCATTTTTGTATTTTCCTGCCTGCAGCAGTTCTATATGAAGCACCCCCTTTGCCGCGCACTGCTCCGCCAGGAGCAGCAAGGTGGGTAATGTTTTTAAGCCTAAGTTGGGCCCAAGCCTTTGGTGAGCAGCTCAGGTGCTTGTATCAGTGTCAGATGGACTGGAGCCACCTCAGCCTTGGACCTGGTGCAGACCCACGCGATGGAGCAGCAGTGCTGACACACTCTCACTCATATGGTCCTCAATTAACACTGCTGTCGTTAGGCAAAAACGGCTCCCCATTCAGCAGGTGCTCTGCAGAGGGGCCAGGGATGCTGGCCCAGTGTCGGTGATAATGGAAAAGAGTCGTTTGGGGAGCAGGTTTTTTTGGGCCACTCTGGCCCCAGGCAGAGAGGAAAGGATGATGCTACCCATGTCCTGCCATGCATGGAATGGCAGCTCTTCTCTTTGACCGCCTTCCCTGGATTCAGAACACATTTCCTCCAGCAGGCCCAAGATGTTTGCGTTCCTAAAGTACACAAAGTCCAGCCCCCTGAAGCCACATTCAAGTCATCAATGCGTAAAATATACCTGAGGGTGACTAAAACAAGGGGCCAAATCAGAAGGGCATCAAAGGTGCTAGCAGGATGCAGCATGGAGCTCTGCTTGCACTTAGCCCTAGGCCCCGAGTCCAAACCAGGAAATCCGTGACTGGAATTACTGGGTTCAGATTTAGGAAAAACGCTGGGGTGTACATGGTACAGTCTCGCAGCAGCTTTCCACTGCCCATGAAACCTATTTCCTAGGTTCATTTTCCAATTGCAGCTAAGCATTCCCGTGGTCACAGGCGTGCAGGTGCCCTGTTGGCAAAGTCAGGCTGGCCCTGGGTCTCGGTCCCCTCTCAATAGAGGCCACCACAGAGCCCAGCTCCCTGAGGAGCTGACAACCCCACCAGGGTGCCTTTGTGTTGGACAGTTTGGCTGGGGACTGTGTGTCAAGCGTTTCAGATTGAGTCAAACAAGTTAGCACAGAAGGCAGCTGCTTTGCTCTGAAATGATAGCTGGGGAAGGTGGTGTGAGGCTGGTTTTGTCTCAGTGTCAGACGCGCTGCCCTCAGGCAATGCCGGCTGTGTCGCAGAGGTGCGCGTGGCGGGAAATGCAGGCTGAGAAACGCTGCTGCCACACGGACAATACACAGAGCGTCACCGGTGTCCCCTGCAGAGCGTCCCCTCCCGGAGCTCCCCTCGGAGAGCAGGAGCAGGCAGCACCCAAGCCCTCCCGCTCCCGACGCAGTTAGCTGCTTTAGCAGGTCTGGCAGGAGCAGGGCTGAACCCTGCCGCACTTCCCAGTGTTCCCTGACTGAGGCCACGAAGAAATCACTGTGGATGCAGAGCTCAGGAGCTGGCGGCATTTCTTGGGGAGGGTTCTGGCCTCTACAACCACTCCCATGGCCAGGGTTGCCCCTGTGCTGGGGCCCTGGAGAGGCTTCCAAGCCCCTTCCCCTGTCATGTAGGTGAGCACCAGGCTCGAGGATGGGCACATCTCCAGCTTCCTGCACCTGGGCCTCTGCTTGTACAGCACCGTGCACCCCTGCCCACCTGTCCTGTGCGTGCTGCACATTGTGTACCCCACCCATGCTATATGCATCATGCATATCGTGCAGATGCACAACAGAGAGATGCAGGTGCACACCAGGCACGTGCACACCATGAACATACCCACCATGTGCACCATGCACATGCACCATGCACACTACCACACACCCACCCACCATGTGCACCATGCACATTCACTGCGCACACACGCCGTGTACACACTGTGCACACACATCATGCACATGCAAAACACACCATGCATATGCACGGTGCACACACACCATTCCACACACACCGCACACGCACCATGCATATGCACCATGCACACACCACACACACATGCCCCACGCACACGCGCTGTGCAACACGCACCATGCGTATGCACCATGCACACACCACACACACATGCCCCACGCACACGCGCTGTGCAACACGCACCATGCGTATGCACC